TCTACCTTAGAGATTTTTTTTTCTAACAGAAAAAAATATTGCCCAAATAAAAATCCATGATGCTGTAGAATTTTTTTACTGTCCTATGATTGCTATGTAGTATTAATGTTTATTCTTGTCCAGTATCTTGAAATGTTTCAGCATTGTAAAAAGTATCTGCAAACAGCATTAGTGTTTTGGCTTTTTTTTTTTTTTTTTTTTAACGTTTTCCTATATGTAGCTTTTGGTTTTGGAGGCTTAAAATTCTGAAATACTCTGCTCTTCTCTGGAAAGATACAGATCTTGTAGAACCATCAGAGTAGGTTTTCTTGTGATCAGATATTAGGCTGAGTAAATAAGGACATGCATTTTTCCAAGGGTCAGGCAACTCTACAAACTCTAGCACATGAAACTTTCAGAATAAATGTTTGTATGTATGTATGTATGTATGTATTTGGTACAGTGTCTCACTGCACATCTTGGACTCGTAGTGATCCTTCTGTCTCAGCCTCCCCAGTGCTGGGGTTATAGGCATGTGCCACCACACCTGGTCTCGGTGGCTGGCTCGGTGCAGGGATTGGCACAGCATGCAGTACCCAGGATCAGACTTGGGTCCTTTGTGCTTGGGTCCTTTGTACTTAGACTGCCAAGCTATCTCCCCAGCCCCAGAATAAATGTTTATGCCTTAAAATTGTCCCCATTTACATAGAAAGTTTATGATTTATTTAATTGGAACATTCTGTTTTGTTGTTTGGTTTTTTTTTTTGTGGAACCGGGGATTGAACTCAGGCCCTTGCACGGCAAGCACTTACTCTACTGCGCTATCTCTCCGGCCCCAATTGGAACATTCTTAACATTAATTTTTAACATTTTTGTTGGTTATTTATACTTGGTATTCATATAGGGGAAATAAACTTCCAACCTTTTCCAAGCATGGAATTACTAGATTACGGAGTATGCATGGCTTTAATTTCACTTTGTAGTGCGAGTTGTGTTTCAAAAGTGATTATACCAGTTGATATACCTA